CTTTGTCGCTCGTTCCGCGCTCTCGCTTGCACTTCAAGCCTTAAATGGAACGCCTCAGAGCGAGGTAACGCCGCATGAGTCATGTTTTTTCGTGCGTGCAGCCGGCTCCATCGAATTATAAGACGTAGTCACGTCAAAAGAATAACATTACACCAATTAATATGTAACAGAAAGAGATGCAGGCAAGCAAAATTTCAGCATGTTGAGGAAAGCAAAGACGATTGTTTAACGATATAACTCCAACCAAGTAGTTATAAAGCCAACCCTGATCTTTTGCTTACTTAAGCAACCTTTAACCCCTCACCGCTCACTGTAAATCGGTTATAACTTTTCGCTTTGTCTGTGCTACTCATGAAGCATTTCCTGACTTAACAAGGACGTGTTCAAAACGCAACAAATGACTGTATTCCCAAGTGGAGATTAAAGAGAAGGTACTTCCGTCCATTTTCACAGATAATTTATTGATAACTGCCAATTACACCAACCTATCTCGCCTATTTCATAGCGCCCTCTGATCTTCTACTTTTTCTAACACCTCGCCGCGATATCGTTTTCTACTGGAATCAATATAAATTCAATGCAAAGTAAAATTTATTTATCAGTTTATAAATTTAACATTAACACCTAAGTACAAAGATATGTGTGCTTGGTGTATTGTATTGCAATTTATTTTCATTTTTGTAAAGAAGGGTGGTTGAAAAATGGTTCATTTATTTGGTTTGCAGGAGAGAGAGAATACATAAGTTTTTCGAAAAAAACTCAAGTCGATCATTAATCAACAGTTCGCACACTCTCCAAGCCCGTTCAATTTATTATAATGAATATGCCGGGGTGAAAGGGGCAATTTATTATTTCTGATTTATGCGGCCAGTCTTCCCGGCATGAATTTATAAATTGATAAGCCACTGCTTCGAGTAACCTTTAACTCGTCGACAGAAGCAGCAGGAGCAAAAGAATGGCAATGATAAATTGTGTGTCATGCCTGCATTAAAGCGGATTTTCCAACGTAAATCACGAAGACGAATGTGTATGTATGTACAATGTAGTAGAGACATTCGGAACTCGATATTCCTTCTTTTAGCAGAGCGAAAAAAGAAATCGCAATCATAAATGTTAATGAAGTACAAAAGTTACAAGTTCAGTTGAAATGATTTATATTTATCGTTGCTCAGTATTTTAATGTCACGTGTAGGGTCAGTATAATCCATATGATCAGTATGTAAATCCATGCTCAGTGTAGACCGATTTGGACCTGATGTGGATAAACGCCACCTGAATCCTTTTGCGGCATTCCCTATTGAAACTGACATGGCCCTTATATGGATACTCTCTTTGAACCTTTTAAAACGCTATGCTCTATTTCGCCTGACTGGTCCAGATGTGGATAACGTATCTCAACCGATTTAAGACATGCCCTATGCAGAAGATTTGGCCCTGATGTGGATATACACCGTATGAATCCTTATACGGTATTCCCTATTAAAAGGCTATGCTCTATTTCGCCTAACTGACCCTGACGTGGATACCGTATTTGAACCGATTTAGAACATGCCCCATTCAGAGGATCTGGTCCTGATGTGGATATACATAGCATGAATCCTTTTACGGTATATTCCCTATTGAAACTGATGTGGCCCTGATATGGATACTAAATTTGAACATTTTAAAACGAGATGCTCTATTTCGCCTAACTGGGCCTGACGTGGAAACCGATTTAAAACATGCCCTATGCAGAGGATTTGACCCTGATGTGGCTTTACACCGCATGAATCCTTTGACGATAATTCCTATTGATACTGATGTGACCTTGATGCCGATATAACCTTGATGTAGATATACCCCACTTGAGTCCTTTTACGACACCCCCATTAAGACTTGTGTGACTCTGATATGGATCCCCTATTCTACCCGTTTAACGGTGCGCCCGATTTAGCTTAACTGACCGCAATTTGGACACCCTATCTGAACCGATTTACGATATGCCCTACGTAGACGGATTTGGCCCTGATGTGGATGTGCCCTTCCTAAATTCTTTTATGTCATCCCTTATTAATACTGATGCAGCCCTGATATGGATACCCAATTTTAACTCTTCAACGACGTGCCCTATTTAGTCTGACGCCCTAATGTAATACCCTATCTGAACCGATTATGACGTGCTTTTGGAATATACAGACTTTAACGCACAAAATAATGGATATTCAGATTATTTCATATGCTAACAAAATCGGAAATCACCTCAATTACTTCTACGTTTTAAAACACAGTTGGCTTTTTATTACTATTTTTTTTAAGAGGTATAGGTAACATTACCATCAGTTTCCAGTTCATAAAATTTTTATTAAGCACTTAAACAACTTTGCATATCTACAACGCTTATAAAATTGACTAAATGAGGGATTTTTGTTAAAAACTAAATTAGAGCCGACTGCATAAATACTGTAATTAGTCGTCAGTAAGACAAGAAATAATTGGCGGTTACAGAAAGTTTTTCTCATAAAAAAGCAGTTCATCTACATAATGACGGTGGAGTTTAAAACACTGTCGTATTTTCTTTACACAAATGATAATATAACAGGGTACTGACAGAGGAGGCTTCAGCGGTCAAAACATTAAATGAGGCACGAGGACGAGCGGCTGGTGTATGGGTAAGTGCCATACAACTTCTTATGCACGACAGATGGTAGCATGTCAATTACCCAGTTCTACTCATTTTCAAATTGTCGCGAACTCCACTCATCTACGAAGTAAAGTAGTCGAACCTAAAACTGGTTGGGTTTATTTCCCTAAAACTAGAACAACCTACATTCTTAACTATGTCTGGTGAACAGTAATCTAATCTAGGTCTATTTCTACTCCTCTTAATTCCTGTTTCTGCCTCTAATATGTCTCTAACTGGCTGAAAAGGTTTCCTTTCTAATGCCTCTTCATTTCCAACCTTCTCTGTCGACGCTATCTTCATCATTCGCCTGTAACACCACATTTCAAACGCTTCTAATTTTTATTTTTCCACCGCGCCCATTGTCCATGTTTCGTACCCGTACAGCGCCGCGATCCATACATATACCTTTAAAAATCTTCTTCAAATTTCTAAATTAACTGTTCGCGAGCATAAAACTGACTTCTTTATGTTTTGTTTTATGTCTCTATTGCTCGTTCCATCCTGACTTATCTGACTTCCTAGTTAACGAAAATCAGCCACTTTTTCTAATTTTTCCTTTCCAGTATTTACATGCACTCTTTCTCTACTTGTCCACTATAAGAGAATACACTCAATTCTTTGACGTCGTTGACTTTTGGAATTCTATTTGTTAATTATAAACGATTAATTTATTATATGTGCTGTACGTATTTGCGTGTGAAATTGTTCAATTAACAATCGAACTGCATTAATTACTTCTGATGTAACTGCGGCAGTTGTTAATTTAGTTTAAGGAACTGTTATTATGAAAAGATTTAATTTGAACCATCTCGCGCTGACGCAAGGTAAGATAAACATTGTATATGGGTCATTTTCAAGCGGCTTAACCATTGCAAATCATTCAAGAATGTTATCCCTTATTTGCATATATGATATGCAACTGTAATAACGGCCATTTTTATCTCAGATAACAAATTGCATCGCATAATATTAATTATTATTCAGTTGAAATACGGGAAACCTACTTTGGCATGAATAAATTATTCCGTCAATAAATAATTACGTTTAACATTTTTCCTGCTCCGATTGCCTTGGAATTATCGAAGTGGTAGCGTTAATAAATCAGAAGAATTAACATTAAAAATAATTGCTTTGACGAGTAATCGCTATTATTCTCCGTGTACGTGGAGTAATTGAACAGCAGATTAATATTATTGGTAAAAAAAAGTCTTGCTGTCATGCCGATTCCCATTAAAAAAAATGGTACAACTAACCATAAATCGTCGACAATATCATGTCCATTATATACACAAACATACACACGTATGTATGTTTACCCTGATAAAGACCACTCAATATTACATGTAAACAGATAATTACAGCGAGAACATTGCTTCACAGTTTATGAACATAAATGTTTATGTATATATATGCACGCACAATGGTTATTGATAAATTGTGTTTATTTATTGATCCTTCGGAATATTATTAAGAATCGGCGTGAATAACTTCTGAACTGTATACGACGTGTGGCAATGAAGTTTCCAAAAATTTGTAAATAAAACACACGAGAATTTTTACTTAATACTTTTAATAAATAATACACCGTTGCTACCGCCTTTTCCACCCTTAGGAACACCTTTCATAACCTCTTGAAGTTATAGAATTCAGATTCAGAACCATCGTCCTGCTTTGATACTCTACGCCGCTAATGGGATCTCCACGACATGGTATTTCATTTTTGGGCAGAAAAATGAACCGCGCGAGGCTAAATAGGGCTGTAGGGAGATAATCAATAAAAAATGCGCGGACGCGTTTTCGTAATGAAGAATCTAACTTTCTTCTTTGCAAGTCCAGCCATACCCGGAAATTGAGTGCCCTCAGCTGCCCTGAATATCAAAAAAAAAAAAAAACAATCAACATTTTCTTGATCTAGGACTTGGACATCCTTCCATTCGCTTGTCGTTCTCCGCCACTTCTACAAACTGCTGACGCAGGAATTTCGAAGCGACATGCGTCCCCATACATATTTTCAATTCGCGAAGGATTTCAGACGGGTTTCCTCCAGGTAGGGAGTTGTAACTAAATTCCCGAAACTTCACTGCCACACCTCGTATGCTATATATGACGTATTTACGGAAATATTTTCGAATATCCCATTCTCAAGATATATTTATCTCAAATTGATTTTTTTAAGAATTGTGCTCTACTTAAAAAATTGTTTCTAGTTATATCTCATCACTTTCTTTACCCTTCTTTTAATCCTTATATGACTGTTCCTTTTAAATAAACTAAGTTTAAGGACAGGAACTACAAAATACGTGTAACTTTAAATCCTTGTCCCACATAATTTCGTTAATAGAAACATGGGATCTCCGAAAATTATACAATAGAAGCTACAACCTACCTTTCAGACTCCTGGACTCCTTGGAACAGAACTGTAAAAAAGGAAAAAAGTCTTAGAAACGTTTAAGGAATTTAAATAAAGCTGATTCCAAATGGAATCAATGGAAGCAAATGGAATGTAAATATGAAATAGCGTTTCTGACGATTTTTTTTTTCTAAAATTATCTGATGAATAAAAAGGTTATTTTTTTTTGCGAAGAAGAAGGTTTGATGTTCGGGTTTAATGAGCTTGATTCAGGACTATTCAGGACTGACGCTCCTAGATCCTAGACTACGATTATCCATCCCGATTATATATCTTGAAAAATGGACCTTCATGCACATGCAACAATATCATAGCTCAGCAGTAAAATTGTAACATCGTCAACCTGATGCAATATTTATTTTCCTGCAACTGGAACGACTTAAGAGACTTTAGAAATTACAGATGGTGCGTGTTAATTAAACTGCTGATGTACTTTTAATTTAATTATGTAAATCTACTGCTTTGAAATTACTATTAATCACTCAATTTTTCACTGATCTATAATTTTAACACTAGGTGTGGTTGATATCTAATAAAAGAGGAAGTTTTGTAAGTATAAGTGAAGAGAATGAATCGACAGGAGAATGGATGAAAGAGTGTTGTATTACAAGGAGGATAGGTCGTCTATTGTCCTCGCTTTTACCCGGTTCATATAGAGAACGTCTCATTGTCAGAATTTCCCGCGTTTCCACCGCGCTTTCCACTCTCTCTCGACATTGATAGATCGCCGCGCGAGACAAAGTTCTTTTTCACGTCGACGACGGCAGTTTGTAAGAGTTACGAGCCGAGTGGCAGCCGCAGTGCGAAGATCAAAGGCATGTTATCTTGAGGGCCCTTTTCTTAAATTAAAAAGTGCCGTGAAGAATTACGGCAATTACCGAACGGCGCCGTTACGGCTCCTCGCTTTGGCTTTCGTCCAATCGCATGTCACTCCTCTTACAGCCCAGACTACAACCAGATACAAATTCCTTCACAAATCTCTTTATATTTCGAATTTGCTACATACTTCTGGACGCATCAGCGAACGATTCCGAGGGATCTAATTGCCTCGGAACACGATTAATATGTCTGGCAATTCTGCATCTAAATAATAACGAAATTAAATTCTTATTTACTACAAATGTTTCAAAATGTTACTTTAATGAAACTCATGCATATTCCAATAATTGCCTTTCTTCTTTGTGACTTTTCTTTGAGATTCGTCAAGTGTTTCTCCTCCTGTAAGGTTGCTACTTATTTCAGAAACACCCTGTGTAGTGATTGCATGTGAATCGACATACGGCATGTACTCTACCTTTCGTACTAATTCCCACAAGAACGAGCAAATAAGGAAGAACGTGTAGAACTCACAGTTTGTAAGTGATAATTTTTTTTAATTTTCAGAAGCAGAGTGTAATGTGTTTTGTATATTTTCAGTGTGCTGTTGCTATAACAATTTTTTGATTGATACGTACTGACTCTGCCGATGACGTCAATAATTTTACAGCAGAATGTTTTCTTCAATAAATTTGCTGAAAAGCACCTAGTTAATATCAGAAAAACTTATCTTTCCATATTATTTCACGAATTTTATTGTTTATCGTGAAGTCGTTATTTTGCTAGACGGTGTATTACTTATATTATTTTTAATGTAAACACTTTAAATAAAGGTAGAGTGAAGATAAGGGTGAAAATATCCTCGTGGAAACTCATACGCCTGTAATTTTGCTCTTCAATAACTGTGATTCGTCTGGTGGGTACTTAATCGTTAATGAAATCAACTGCTTATTTTCAAGATCAGGTACTTCCATAAAATATGATGAATTGCTTTTATCAGATTAAAATTAACGTAGAAAAACTTAACATTGATTTTTTTATCAATGTCAAGCAAACCTGAAGTACCCTGCTCGTTTCTGATATAAAAACTTTATTTCATTTTATTGGAATTTATATTTATCGAAAATCATTTCGATAGCACTGTAAGGATCCAGTGTTTTTATTTAGCTTCATTTAGTGAAAGGATTAATTGGCAATTGCTGTTGCTTTTTTTAGTAAACAAATTGAACCTATCAGTGCAGATCCAATAGAGTTTTTCTATCAAAATAGGTACTTTTCATTATGGTTTTTGTACATATGTAAACAATAATAATTTACGGGAAAATCGCGTCTACTTGAACCATGAAACCAACTGAATAATAAAATAGCAATCAGTAATCAGTTGAAAGTTCAATTGGTTCGATAAAAAGGTAATTAATTACTTACTAAAAAAAGGCACATGGTTTTAAGTGCCTTTAGGTGAAATATGTAGACAATACGTGAATTCTGTCTTGTCTGCGTAAACATATGTGTTTATGATAGTGCAAAATACGTCATAATGTAGCAACACTTTTTTTGTGACAATGATTCTACATCGAGATTATCGTTGTAAGTGGACATATAGTTATCTGTTTGAAGTTCCTTTCAAATAATAAGCTTCAGTCGATATAAATCTTCAAGGTTTCAAATTTCTTCATGAAATTATACGTATACAGTACTTGTGTGTATCAGAACCGTTTGCAATTAACAGCAAATTCCTTCAATTTATTGGGAGAATAACGGTTTGATTTGGGCTCCAAATGCTTCCGCCTGGATCTCATTAGATTGTGTAAGCAAATATTGGTGCAATAATATTCTTTAGATACTACTGTCTCGTGTTCATCGTTCCAGCTTTTGAGTCCATATCTCAACTCGTTGCCAATTCACGGCCAGGACCGGCTTTGGATTGTAACTTGTGCTTTTTTTATAAATTTGTTTGTCTCTTAATCACCCTGCTGTACTCACCATGTGATTCCCTATTGCATCTAGTTGACGCCCTCTAAGGCTTACTACTTATTTCAGAAACACCCTGTACAACATTGCTTTCTCACTTACAAGTAATAGTAATACTCCAAACTGCATGGGCTGGAGGTGTAGGACATCTTTAGCGTTGAGGGAGAACACTGGTTCAATTTCGGGTCTGTCTGCCCTGGTCTAAGTTTTTCTATGGTTTCCTTGGATTACTCAGGCAAATATTGGAGCTGTAATATTCCACAGTATTCCACCCTACCATGCGGCGTAGTCCAGAGAGACTGCCCGCCTTCTATGATGGAGAAAGAGAAGAGAAACCCAAAAGTTTTTTTTTGTATTGCTCATAATCATAATGCCACAAGCCTGTCTAGTTTTACACCTTATGCTCAGTACTATACGAGGAAACCTCCTATACATAGGCGCAGGGGAGCCTCAAGGAAACGCACTTATGGTCTGCGATTCCAGGGGTTCCAAGCATGGAAGGTCAGAAAATACCAAGCCCAATAAATGTATTAATCGAAGAATACTTTTTTTTTTATTGCTTAAGAACAAAAAGTTGCGTTGGTCATGGCCTGCCTTTGTTTAAGGTAAAATGGTCCTAGTTGCGATTTTTAAGTTAGATTATGGTGAAAGAGGTTTCCTCGATTGACTTATGTGAAGTGATATGCAGTAAGAGGTTGGGCTAAAGTACAGTTGGTAAGGTTTACCTTATTGGTATGTACAATGTACTACCAACAAGAATTCAGTACCATGTGCTAGATTATGGTGGTAGATTTGTCTAAATGACATACATGCAAAGTGTCATGCACCAATGACAAAGCTATCCACCGTCCATCGTCCAAATTTGGATGAGCTCAATTAGTCTGTCGATACTGTTATCATAAAGTTATAATCAGAGGTGAATTAAAGGTGGTGAGCGGAATGAACGGTTTAGTTCAGGCTTCTGGTCCCCGGTGTTCCATCAAATTTCAAGATGTCCTTTTCAAAGGAATCTTAAATAAGCCCAAAATACGTCCAGTAAAAGTATAAGAGGCAGTTTAGATTATTATATCTATTACGTATTCATTTTTTTTTTAACAGGACCCTACAAATGCATCAATTTCTGAGCATTATTTCGTTTTGGCGTCTCCGGTTTCCGATGGGCTTGGTGCATTTTTTATGTTGGTGACTGTATTTGTCTGGTATAAACCATAATGAGTACAATATGTTGGAAGACGATGACGCTGTTTAACTTGGAAAAACGGTAGCAGCTTCAAGAGGATCTTGCGTTGCTGGGCCATATGTAACTGTCAACTGAGAAAATGGATTTCCAGTTCTCTGACGTAATATGGTAATTAATCTAACATCACATATATCAAGCTGTCGACCCGCATGTTTATTAAATGTCGACGTACTTTTAGAGCTTGCATTTGGTGCACAATCAATCATGTTCTTCGATATATGATTCCAACATTTTCACACGCATTATCACTATCACCTATTCAAACATACACATATCGGAATAAAATTGAAATACAAAAACTCTTGTGGATTAACCCCAATCTCATGTAATAAAAGATTATTAAGAAAACAACAATTCTGGTGAGTTTCGGACAATTCTTGATGGGGTTTTTATATGTATATATATGTATCTGTGTGTGTATCCAAAATGGGGTCTTAACTTAAGTACAGATAATGGTCATTATGTTCTTTTTTCTATTTCTTTTCACCTTTTCATTTAGCAATTAATAAAAACAAAGTATTTAACTGCATTTTACAGATTATTATTATCTACTTATGTATGTGGTTAAAATTGCAAAATAAAAATATGCAAAGTCAAATATCTAAGCCATCGATGATCCTAATAGGATCAGTATTTGTCTAATACAAATCTTGATGTAGTCTTATCTAAAAAATAACTTCTTAAGTATTTAAGTTACATAACTTCTATATTGATTTACTGCAGTATTATAACTGATAAAAATTGAGTTATATTTGTACTAAATTTATCATAGGATATTAGGAAATTGTATTCTAAATATGTAATATTGTGTAACTCAATATCCGCCTATATTTTAAGTCAGATAAAATCTAAAATATGAAAGTATAGTAACAAAAATTAATACACATATGTATAAACAATTTGTAACGTTGAATACAAGGGTTGCACCAGGAGTTTTGCAACATGTTTTGGTTATAATTTTTCTTCTTACGTCTTCTCTT